AACATTTTGTTGTTCATTTGTGACACAAAATTTCCGTAACGGTCAACTAACTGGTGAGGGTGTCCGCATAACAGTCGGAGGAATGACTTCAACTTTACCAATTTGAATCTTTGTTTCAATACATTTCTTGCACCCACTTTCAAAGAAATCATATTATCACACTCTAGCATATCGTATCAACTGATTGATATATACTCCATATGCAGACGTGAATGGTGCTCTATATATTTGGAAAGTTCACACTTGATAAACTGTTTTCATCTCTTTGTCGTTAAGTTTTGTTTTCAAACGACCGTCAACGTGTATTACTCTAGATGAAAGTTAAAACATGAGGCAGACTTAACTGCATCTGTGGTATCCTTTATATCAAGTTCGATGTTGAAATGTCTATAAAAATAAACGATCAATAAACCATATTGTTTTTCAGATGTCCCAATTGTACAAGTATTGTCTAACACCTATTCAGTGATTTTTGGAGGCACTGTGGTCCTTGGTTGTCAAGTAATTGCCAATCCATCGGCCACTAACGTTTTTTGGCAAAGGCTTAATGAAACAATTGATATGAGTACAAATAACTTTAACAAGTACAGTGGATCTACAGTACAATCTCCATCTCTAACTATCATTGGTACTACAGATGCGGATAAAGGGAATTACGTCTGTTTTGCTACTAATCCAGTAGGGACAGTTTCCAGCAGTCAGACATTTCTGGATGTTGTAGGCAGTACGTTATGTTATAAGTATAGGTTGTGAAAAATATTTTTTCGCATAAATTCACAAAATATTATTTTTCAAAACACAGTACTGTTCCTACAGAAAAGTGTAAAAAAACCTTACCTACATATATAAGTGAAAGCAAAATACAATACATGATAGACACAGTTGATGGATTAATTATTACTTCCAATGTATGTGCTAGACAAAGGAATACACCACTTATATATAGGCAGTAGTTCAATTCGCTTAATGTTAAACTCCAGCTCTTAAAGTGGGGGCTATATTTTCCTTACGTCAATTAACTTAAAACATTGCAGCCATTTTTCTTGCACTTACAGTAACGCTTTATTGTATAAAAACGTAAAATTCTCATTAAATCCTCTCCCAAAGTTTATGTATAATATTGTGTTCTACATGACTAGATCAAACATGCATTTTTTTTATATGAAAAACTAGCTTGTCAATTGTTTAGTAACTATTGTACTCTTGTCACGGTTGCGCAATGTTATAGTCAGCTAGGGACAAGTCATATGGTTATTGGACTATTAAGTAATACTAGTGCAAAACTGTATGATATGTACATAATTAAATTTTTTGTAGACATACCCGCAGTAAGCATACCTCAGAGTGAGTACAGTGTAAACGTTGGTAGTCAAATTACAGTTCCTTGTACTGTGTCAGCCACACCCACAGAGACAAATATCTACTGGACCACGACAGTCGGCAGCAACACAGCACAGACAATCTCCATGACGAATACCCAGAAATATCAAGGATCTTCTGTAAACTCACCTTCACTGATCATTCTCAGTACGACTCAGAGTGACTCTGGGGTTTATAGATGTCATGCAACAAATAATGTTGGTACTGGACACAGTAATCCTACCACACTTAATGTTGTTGGAAGTAAGTACAGGCCATTTTAACCTTAATTTATGTTGTGAGAAGTAAGTACAGTCCATTTGAAGTTAACGGTTAAAGATGGATGCTTTTCTTAAAAAGTCGTATGATACTTAGAAAAAAAATTAATTAAAAGTTGAATATGTTTATATGTACTCGAACGGTGTTACTATAAAACACATTTACGTGGACTTTCTTTTAAAAGAAAACCTTTTATCCTATCAAAATCGTCAGAAATGATTGCTTTTGAATTATTGTCTTCACGTATCTTATTCGCCGATAATTTTTCCATATGCAGTAACCACGAGCCCTCGCTTTTTTTATTACTTCGACAACCGCACAGTTAAATAGTGTTAATTGGTTCTAAGAGAACAGATGTAATACACCAAATCATTAAAAACTGTTATGACAAAGTTTAATTGAAAAATTAAAAAAAATACACATGGAAAATATAAAAAGAAAAAAAGATTAGCTCTATTGTATGTCTTAGTTTTAACGTGTTCTACGATTCCGTATTGATTGTTTACTAAAGTACCATTCGATAAAATGCGGCAATGAAACACGAAAGTTAATTACCAAACAAAATTTTCACTGAATGAAATATGTTTCGTCAATTATGTGTTATGGATAAGTACTAAATTCAAACATTTGTGCATACAGGACTTAGTTTAGTACATATTATACATGCATTGGTTCAATAAATTCCTTAATATTGTAATTTCAATAAACCCGTATCATATGACTTAAAAAAGAGAGGCGAAAAATAACCCCAAATGGACATTCAAACTCATAAGTCGAAAATAAACTGACAACGCCATGGCTGAAATAGAAATGACAAAATGTTTCTCGTTTGAATGCCATACGGTGACCTAAAGCGGTTAATTTCTGTGTCATTTGGTCTCTTGTGGAGAGTTGTCTCATTGACAATCATACCAAATCTTCTTATTTTTATAAACAAAACAAACTGCAGTACACAAAACACAACAAAGAAAACTACAGACTTAGCAAAACAAACGTGTTGCTCATGTAAGTACAAACCTGGTGATAAGTTTAATTTGTTAAGTCACATTCTGGGAAAAGGGATAAGATTGTAGTAACGACAACTGGAACACATCCGTCGTCATCTGTGAAACAGATATTAAAATAACGGTCAATCAACTCGTGAAGGCGTCCGTAGAATTTACGACGGGATGACTTCAACTTCACCACTTCGAACTCCTGAACAATAGCTTCCTTGTGAGCAGCAACCCTCTAACAAGGCAATCATGAAAGGTAATAAAATGTACTGGGCATATCGTATCAACTGGGAGATATATATTCCGTATGCAGACGCTGCTGGAATATTGCCTCATAGAAATGGGAGGTTCACAATTGGGAAGCAGATATCAAATAGAAGTTCTAATCAAGTATAGCTATATTATTTAGATTTTCTACGTTAAATTATGTTTGTCGAACTATTGACAGAAAACATCTAGGGAAGTTTTTTTTATATGAAAATAAGAAGATTTGGTATGATTGCAAATAAGACAGCTCTCCACCAGAGACTAAATGACGTAGACGTTAACAACTATAAGTCACCGTATGGCCTTTGTTTAGAATAATTTGTTGTTATGACACATTGTACAACATGTTTTGTTTTTTACATTTTGATGTATATATATATAATTTCATTTTTCTTTAATGCAGATATACCAACAGTGACTGTTGCTCAAACTTATTACCTTGTTAATTACGGACAGTCTGTCCAGCTTGTATGTACTGTCAGCGCCGCACCAACCCACACACAGGTGTACTGGACTAGAGTCCAGAACGGACTGCCAGTGACGATTTCTTTGACAAACACAGCTAAATATAGTGGTTCTATCGTCAGTAATCCATCTCTTACTATCAATAACGTTGATCAAAATGATGAAACTTATTATATTTGTTATGCAGCAAATACAGTGGGAACTGGACAGAGTCGTCAACAGATCTATGTAGATGTTGTCGGAAGTATGTATCAAGTATTATATTGTATCTGTTATCATAACGTTTATGCTGATGCATTTCATAGTCATCTTTATGCATTTGTAACTTGACTAATCAAAATGATAGGAAATAAAAAAAAAAACATAAAGTAAAAAAAAAAAGACAGTATTAACGGATCGTCACGTAAAACTGTGATATTTGTATTTTAGGAAAAAAATATCAAAACTTCTGCAAACAAGACACTTCTAGCGAAACTACTTAATTTTTTTGTTTGCTTGTTATCTTTTTACTGTATGTAAACTGTAGTCTATGGGTACTTATTCATAATATGTTTATTCTGTATTTTCGGTATATTTCACATATGTCTTATTTGTCAGTATATTCGAGTAACTCGTGGTTCGTCTAAAGTGTTTTTGTTTTATGTTGTTTGTTTTCAAGTGTGTTTACTCTTTGGTCTTACATGATATTGCCTTATATTACAGTTATTTTATTTTTATTTTCTATATGTATGTAAAGGTTAAGATAAAAAATCAGTAATTTCATTGATATGATTTTAAGTTTATAGCTACTTTATGCACAGGATTGTTTTGTTCATACAGTTTTGATTTATAAGAAAACCGACATGGTTAGAAAATACAAATAATAACACCATTACAAACACAATACAATTATTATATTTTTGTCATGGTTAGAAAATACATTAAATAGCATCATTATAAACTTAAACCCAATTTTATATTCTTGTACATGTCTACAATAAAACAAATCTATTGTATTTATAGAAATTTACCTGTGATAATATAAACGTAACAAAAATACACGTGGTGTTGATACATTTGTGTAAGGAACAGTTTATACTTCGTGTGTGGTATACCGGTGTACTGTCGTATATTCATGGGAGGTGTCCGTTGTTATTATTCTGTGGTATACATGTTGTAATGCACTATTATATTATTTATTTATGTATTTCTCTGTCCTGAGTGTTCTTGCGTTTATTTGCACTGTATTCCTGTCACGTAATGTTGTCTTTTTGGCGTTGCTTTTAACATTGCCATATAAACGAGAGGTTTGGTTAGGTTAAAACCAGGTTCAACCCACAATTTTTTCTTAAGTCAGGAATATGGCAGTTGTTATCAAATATTCCTTTTCTATGTATGTTGGCGTTTGTTTTTGTTGCAGTTCAGTTTTTCTGTTGTTCCGTTGTTTTCCTCTTATAGTTGATGTGTTTCCCACGGTTTTAGTTTGTAACCCGGATTTGTTTCCGGTTAATCGATTTATGACTATTAAACAGAGGTATACTACTGTTGCCTGTATATATCTGAAGACAAATATTAATATTTTAATGTGTTTTCATATTAATGAATGATTATTTTGATAATGCCTCTCTTATATATTGATTTGCAGGTCAGCCTGAAATTTCTATTCAGTTCAATAGTTACAGTGTACTACTTGGACAGACAGTAACTCTTGTCTGTACAATATCCGCTAACCCAAGTGCCACAAGTGTACGGTGGTATAAAGTTATTAATGGTGTACAAACTTCTCTCTCTACCACTGCTGGGAAATATAACATGCCAACTGTCAGCAGTCCTAATCTGATTATCAACAGTGCTGCTCAGAGCGATACTGGTTACTATGTTTGTACAGCAACTAACATTGTCGGTACCGGAGCTTCATCTCAGACTTATTTGACTGTTACAGGAAGTAAGTGTGCTCTAGCATAAACGAAAAGGCCAACTACTGAGCAAGCTTGAAACGTTGTAAGTTTTGAAGCCTCAGGGTCTGTGTTTGATAAAAAAAAACAAAACAAAAAACAAATAATAATACTGATTTTCTGATACAATCTGTTGTTTCTTTAATTGAAATGATTAAAAATAATATAGCTAATAGATTTGTGAGACATGAAATATTACAATTACCAGAATCATATTGCTATTAAAAAAAGAAACATATATCAGTTGTCTGTAAAATTGAGAATGGAAATGGGGAATATGTCAAAGAGACAACAACCCGGCCAGCAGATAACAGCCGAAGGCCACCAATTTGTTAGACTTTGATATTGCTTAATTTGAAATAATTTCAAAAAGATATAAAGCATCAAATAATTCAGTTTACAGAACTATATTTTTTGTGAGAAATTATTTAAGTGAACAAAATTTGTTTTGCAGATTTGCCAACAGTTACTGTTACCTTGTCAAATTATAACACTAACATTGGTGGGACTGTGATTCTTGGTTGTACTGTTGATGCCACTCCTGCTGCCACCAATGTATACTGGCAACGTATCATTAACAATCAACAACAAAGTATTGATACAACCTCCTCCAACTCACGGTACAGTGGTTCTACTGTCTCTAGTCCGTCACTTGTCATTACTAACGCTCAGTCATTGGATGAAGGAAACTATATATGTTATGCTACAAATAGCATTGGAACTAGTAACAGCCAACAGACTTATCTCAACGTCCTTGGGAGTAAGTTTTGTATGAAACAAAACATATTAAGTTGTAATAAATCAAATTTCAAAACCAGATTTTCTTGTAAAATTCACTAAGTATTCTGCGTAATAATTCGATATTTTTCAATCGTAAGAAATATTGATTTTGGATATTATATATATATATATATATATATACACAAGTCTAAATTGAAAACAACGTTCAAACCTATGATTGCGTTGGATAAAAACCGCAATTTTTATACGTGTGCATGCAAAACAAATTTCTTGGTAGAGGGGTCTAAATACAGCACAAACAACATTTTCCAAAAGACCAAATGAGTGAAAAAGTATATTTTAACAAAACGCATTTGACTAGCAGGTCGAACAACTAATGTTCTTAAACCCTGCTGACTGCTATTGGCGATTGCCAAATAAACGGATCACAAGATGTAACAAAATAGATCTTTTTATTTATTTATTACCAAACAGAAAACAATAAACTTGCGAAAAAGATGGTATACCGCAAACACGAGGTGCAAAAAAATTTGTACACTATCCGGATTTCGACAATTAATGTCTCTTCAGTAATGTTAGGAATCGAAACGGTATTTGGAAGGCCATATAATTTACCTCAATTTAGGATAGACTCTTGAATTTTGAAAGAGTCAAAATAGGATGAACGGATCATATAAACCCGAAGGCAAATATAATACAAGCCCAAACGAAAACAATATAAACAAGTCTAAATTGAAATATAAATATATAATAAAAAATATAACACATTTCAATACGTTTCGGCCATTGCGGCCTCCTTCATTGGAATAAATTACAACATTGAAAAAAAAACAATTACATCGCTTGGATACATTACGTTACTATAACTTCTATGACGTTCATTTGCCGCATTTTTGTTTTTTTTCTTTTTATAAATATTTTTTCTATCATTCGTACATAGTGTTGAGTCCATCAGGCTTTAAAGTTTTTAATTTTTTAATCCAAAAGGCTTCTTTAGTTTGTCTGTAAATTTCTGTGCCAAATAGTCTTTCTATTTCAGTAACTTTTAGATATTTCATCGAATGGTTTTCAAGGAAGACGGCCGCAATGGCCGAAACGTATAGAAATTTGTGTTATAGTTTTTATTATACAATCAATCAAAGACTTTATATATATTATTAGAAATACCAGAGAAAACAATAAACCTTTTGACAATCTTACCCATGAAGAACGAACTGCACTAAAATTTGTACGATCCAACAACAATATCGTCATTAAACCTGCAGACAAAGGCAGTGCTAATGGTTGTCATGGATACATTTGCCTATATTCAAGAAGCTGAACGACAACTTGGCGATGCAAGGTTCTACCAAAAAATAGACTCTGATCCTACAACATCTTTTAGCAGAGAATTAACTGATAGTTTGGTAAAAATGCACAACGATGGTTTCATCGATGAAAAAATCTTGAATATTTGAAACCAGAAACTCCAAAACCGGGCAGATTTTATCTTTTACCAAAAATTCATAAGGTCAATAACCCAGGAAGACCTATTGTTTGAGCAAACGGTCATCCGACGAAAAAAATCTCGGAATTCGTTGACTTCCATCTTCGTCAACATGTTGAAGACTTACCATCTCACATCAAAAACACAACCGATTATCTTAGAAAAATGCAGGTCTTAAATCTACTTCCCTCCGACACGACACATGTCTCTATGGATGTCACCTCCCTCTACACGAAAATTCCACATGCGGATTCCATTGATGCATGTAAAGAAGTTTGGGAGTCCCGACTAGTAAAATATCCACCTACTGAATGCCTTGTCAAAATGCTTACGCTGGTACTAAAGAACAACAACTTCACCTTTGATGGAGATCACTACCTACAATTTAATGGAACTGCTATTGGTACCAAAATGGCTCCATCATATGCCAACATATTTATGGGCAAATTAGAAAAACAACTCCTTGCATCTTCAATCGAAAAACCGCATTCCTGGTTTAGATTTATAGATGATGTGGATGAATATGAAATGGAAAAAAAGTGACGAGGATTTAAATACATTCATCACTCATGCCAACAACAAACATCAAAGTATCAAATTTACTCATGAGAGATCTAAATCCAAAATCAACTTTTTCGATACTTCCAGCTCCCTTACAGATGGCATTATATCTACAGACCTATATCCCAAGCTTACTGATACTCACCAAAATCTGTACTCTAAAAGTTGCCATCCTGCCCGTTGTACTAAGAGCATCCCGTACAGTCAGGCATTCAGAGTCAAGCGAATATGTTCCAACACAGAAACAACTAAAAAACGACCAAGTCAACTCAAATCCCGCTTGAAGAGAAGGGGCTATAAACACAGATCTTTTCAAAAAAGTTTTCAGAAAGCGGAAACTATCCGTAGGAGTAAACTGTTAGAATAAAAAGATAAAAATAAAAATAAAAGGACTCCAAGTGTTCTTACTTACCACCCATCTCTCAAAAACATCTTCGGTGTCATTCGTGAGCATTGGAATACAGTTCAAAAGAATTCTAAACTATCCAAGATTTTTCCCGAGCCCCCCATGATAGCTTTTAGGCAACCCAATAGTCTGCGTAACCTGCTGGTGCGGGCTGAAGAGTTTGATCCCAGAAGTACTTCTGGAGAATGTCGTTCTTGTGATGAAAAACGCTGCAAATGCTGCCTGCAGATGCATCACTCATCAACTTTTCACAGTAAGGCAACCGAAAATAACTATAGTGTATTTTGCAATGGGACTTGCAAAATTATGAATGTTATTTACATTCTAGAATGTTCGGTTTGTGGCCTCCAATATGTTGGTGAGTCAAAGCAGCCTTTACACAAACGCCTAAATGGCCATAGGAGTAATATCTCTAAGAAGCCACTTCTCCTAGTAAGTTAGCATTTCAGACAGTCGGGTCATAAACTTGATGACTTTAACCGCATGAAAATCCTAATGATTGAACATCCAACGGCATCAATAAGAAATACTAGCAGTTTTATTTTTCATTCAATTTGAGATGTATATATACACAGTGACGTCTATTAAATATCGAGTTTTGTTTTATATTATGATGTTCAGGATTTGGGATTAAATCAAGGCCACAATTTACCTGTATTATTGAGCTATTTTATACACCGTTAGTATTGTTAAAATTATTGACACTGACGAAGGCTATTTGTTAGGCCGAAATATTTGTCAAAACTTTTTTATAACATCATCTTCGTATATTACCATCTTATAATAGTACCGTTGTGCAAATATTTATATATATAGTACGTCTACACAAGTGACAACTCTACGACGTATCCATCCTTTGGATCAACAGTGAAGGTGATACACGGCTGAACACACATATCATATTCATAATTACTCTAAATATCAGCACAACTATGTTAAATCTGCAAATTTGCAGAAGCAAATTTTTGTTCTTCCCTCGCCGGGATTCAAACGCATGCTATTGGGGTATCAAGATAACACCGCCTGCACTATGTCCAGCGCTCTAGACCACTCGGCCACCTAGACTGAACTTAAAATTCAGCTTTCGGTAGCCTAGTATATATATATATATATATATATATATATATATATATATATATATATATATATATATATATATATATACAAGCAAGTTTAAGCAAGTGACAACCAACCATACAATATATATGCCCACTGGATCTTAGCGTGTTTGAGATACATGGTTAATACAAATATCTATATAAGTCTGAAAATAAACCCAACAGTGTTAGAATTATATTTTTATGCTAACAAGTTTTTTGTCCTTCAACGGGATTTGAACTCACCTTTGATACACTACAGGACCAATCGCTTAGCCTCGTGTCAAGCTCTCTAGACCACTCGACCACATTCGCTATATAAAATATAACTTAAATTGTCGTAGTATTACCTTGTCAAGTAAGGCGTATCTAGAGATAGACATAATACATGTGCTTAAGCGTGTGAAGTTGTTATATATCTATGTATATATGCCAAGAAATAGATTACTTGAGCTGTATTTGGAAAAAGAATTCGGAATTTTGGATCAACAATGCTCTTCAATTTTGGCCTTTTGAATTTATCGTCACTAATGTGCCTTTTGTAGTAGAAACGCCCGTCTAGCTTATACAATTATAATTCTGGTATCTCTGAAAATTTTATTATAGTTTATATAATACTATCAAATGCCACGTGCATTTAAATTGGAAATCAAGTTTTGAATCTTTGCAAAAACAAGGTGCTAAAATGGACATATACTGAAATTTTGGACATTCGTTTCAAATGTCCATTTTCGTCTATTTCACTGCAGTTGTGCAAGTACCAACAGACTTTACTACAATTATTTGCTTACATAAACAACACCTGTTATGTACATTTGATAGAACATCTGGAACAATGCTATATTTCGACCATCAAATCCCATGATATTTACAAGATCATTCTGTTTAACATTTACGTAAACAAAATTAATAGAGAAATCACCAGATTAAGTAATACTTTACTTTTATAAGCTAAATGGGTACATTATCTAACCTCAACCTTGACAATGGATTATTTGATAACATAACACTATTTGTTTTAACTTTTTACAGATATCCCCGTAGTGACAGTACAAGAAAGTGTGTACTCTGTCAACATCGGAGGTAGCATCAATCTCGTGTGTAATATACAAGCAAACCCTCCTCATACCTCAGTCACATGGCAGAAAATTATGAATGGAGTTACGACCACGGTTACAATATCTGGGAGGTTTTCTGGCGCTACAGTAAACAGTCCAACTCTTACAATATCTAATGTAATTCTTGACGATGAAGGATACTATGTATGTTTTGCAACGAATAGTGTTGGAAACGGTCAAAGTCCGCAATGTTTTTTAGATGTCATTGGAAGTAAGTAGTCTATTAAAGAAAAGAAGAAATAAAAAAAAAATCGCTTAAAATAAAAAAAAAAAATTACATTGAGCACAAACTTATTATCATACTAATAGTTGTCGTCTCCTTTTAACTTAAATATAAATTATAAACCACGTAAACACATTGCTAGCTTTTACATTTACAAAACAATATCATAATTCTATCTTAAGTGACTCTAGTAAAGTTATAAGAAAAACAAGATTTCAGCACAATTAAATTTTCCTTCGATAATATTAATTATATATAAGGAACCATAAGACCAAATAAATGATACAATCTCAACTCATTTGTCCTATTCCTATTATGACTGTAAAATAATCGTATAAACCAACTATTCCATAGGTATCCCGACAGTAATTATAGGGTCAGACTACTACCCAGTTAACTACGGAAATACAGCAACCATTGAATGCAATGTTGTTGCTACACCAACAGAAACAAGTATATCGTGGCAGAAAATACAGAATAGTATACCGTCGACAGTAGTTATATCAGGACGATACCAGGGTGGTAATGTATCTTCCCCACATTTGATTATCACTGATGTGGAAAATACGGACGAGGCATTCTACATGTGTTTTGCTACTAACATTGTAGGAATTGGACAAAGTTCTCAGACCTATCTCGACGTACAAGGAGGTATGTATAACATAGTTTAAATATCCAAAATACCAATACCATGAACAATGAATAGCAATATAATGCATAGCAATATAGTTAACATTAATGTCCAAAATATCAATAAAATTCATAGCAATATAGTTAACATTAATATCCAAAATATCAATGCAATGCAAGCAATATAGTTAACATTAATGTCAAAAATATCAATACAATGATTAGCAATGTAGTTAACATTAATGTCCAAAATATCAATGCAATGCATAGCAATATAGTTAACATTAATGTCCAAAATATCAATACAATGCATAGCAATATAGTTAACATTAATGTCCAAAATATCAATGCAATGCATAGCAATATAGTTAACATTAATGTCCAAAATATCAATACAATGCATAGCAATATAGTTAACATTAATGTCCAAAATATCAATGCAATGCATAGCAATATCTTTAATACTAATTTAAATCATTCACCATAACCTCCTCATGCAGATTGAAACACAAAATATTTCTGACTTTCAACCTCCTCGTATTAGTAGTAACCGATAAGTGTAACCAAACTGAAATACAATTTGTTTTAAATCACGGAAGGTTCAGTGTAGTCGTTTAATCTTACTTTTTACAGCTGTTCCCTCCGTATATATGTACTTAAGAGAGGTGAAATATACCAAAGGGACACTGAAACTCATACATTGAATGCAAACTTTCAACGCCATGGTCAAAAAAGAAAACGACCAATAGAAATTGTTTTATACATTATCTTACTTCTTTTACAGCTGCTCCTTCCGTACAGGTATTATCCAATTATTACTCAGTGGTGATTGGTCTCTCTGTCACGCTTCAGTGCATCGTTACATCTAATCCATCTCTTACAAACGTGACATGGAATAAGATAGAAAACGGACAGCAAACTAATATAGGATCAAACAATAGATATTCAGGAGGAAGTACTAATACAACATCTTTGACCATTTCGAACGCAGTTGACTCGGATGAAGGATATTACATTTGTACCGCAGTAAATGCAGTGGGCGAAGGTCAAAGTTCACAAACCTATTTAGACGTTATCGGAAGTACGTTTTATTTTTGTTTTCTTCTTTTATCTTATATTATGAATTTTCTATAAAGCAAAATATTTCTATCAAAATAGGGCTCTTTTCACTTTAATGTGAATAGGTTGGCAAGTCTTCCGTTACATATACATAATACAAAGGTATTGTTTCTCTTGTTGTGTGAGTTCATTTAAACATATTTTATTACTATTATATATAACAAAAAGGATCAGCCGCACGTAATCACAAGTGAGATCGTCCTCTCCAAAATATAATAAGTTATAAGCACTACCAGCATTTTACAATTTTCAAGTTCACAAATTCCCCAAAAAATAGACAGTAGTCCTATGTCACCATGCTTCCATGCTTATTCACCGACATACTAAACTATATAAATTATACATATAAAAAAGAAAAAAAGATATCTTTCTTCAGATCAAAGCGTTCACTTATTCAAATCAAACTCATGACTTCATTAAATATGAAAGTAATTTGATTCAGAGTGAAATTTTCGTTTTCATTTAGTAATGTAACAAGATTTAAAGACATTAAGCAGTATTTTATCTAGTTGATTTCTGATTTGTGCATAAAAAGGACATTTCAAGAAAAAATCAATTCTGAAGTGTTGTAAATAATGTATTTGCCTTACCTCTCCCAGCAAAATAGTGTTTAAGGACTTTTGATTGAGGAACTTCTTTCGTAGGCGATACTTGAATTTGTAGATGGAATTTACATTGCTTATTGCGTTATCGATTTCAGTAAATTGCCTTATCGTATTGGAGAAAAAATGAATGTTTGTAAGTTCTTATCTACAAAATGGTACTATCAGTGGGAAATCTAGTGAAAAAATATTACCTCCCCTGTAAAAACTGAAAACTAAATCTTTTCAATGTTTGTCCTGTTTTAGCAAGGACACTATCAATTATGAATTCACGGGAATATATTCTGGTAAAAAGTAAAATAGAAAAAAGTTGAAATACATTTTCCTCCTTGAATAGCAAATTAAACGACGAGTATAGCAGGCTGTAGAAGCTTGGTGTAAAATTGGTCTAAAATATTGCTATGCGAATAAATTCCTGGAGTACCAACTTCCATATATTTTTCTAATAGCTGTATACCTGTCTGGAACATGCCGATTATCCGTATATATATGCAGCTAGATCAAAGAAAGTCAGGGGGGGGGGGGAATCCAAAGGAATCGATAGATATCCAGCAAAGATTATCACTTTTGAAATTAAATAACGGACAAATTCAAACAAACTAAAAAATAGTAAAAAGATACCTACTTTATAAAAATAGCTATCTTTTATTTTACAGACAGAATTTTAAAATGTTACAGTCACGAAAAGACAATATTTCTTTATTAAATGTACATGTGATAAGAGCAGACCGGTGTACTTGAAAATCTTAGATGTGAAAAATAAGTATATTTTGGGGATTTGTAACATGCTAAGGACTTTGTGGAAAACTCTAACATTGGTGACGCGAAAGATCTTTAGATTTTGTATGTACATAACTTTTTTCAATTTTGTTTTATCAATATGCAGCAAAGTTTTTAGATTTCAGTTTTACAAGCTTCTTATGCAATTATCTCGATAAATACGGAACATAAAACATCGTGTACTTTCATATATATTTCTAATAACACAGTTTAACAAATAATTTCTTTAAAATGTACAATTATTATTAAGAGATAACTTTTGATCAGTATCGTCACCGGCAATGTTTTATTATTGACTTTCTCGAATCTATCATAAGAAGAGTGGATTTTCTTTTGTCTTCGTTCACTAGATTTCACAGGTTGGGAACAAACCTCATATGATGATAATACCTGTATAGAGTGATTACCCTTCTATAGAGGGATAGCAGTATCTCTCTACAGAAGGATATATTTGTTTAGACTGGATTTAAAACTGAACATGGCAAATATACTTTTTTCTACTTGGTATGACAGAAACCTGCAACATTGGATGCACCAATTGATGAACTTAATTTATTATGCCCATGTCTAATTTACTACTAAACTTACTGCCTGTCGATACTTTTGTTTTGACATTGCACTAGTCATAGATATAAGAAGATGTGGTATGAGTGCCAATGAGACAACTCTCCATCCAAGTCAAAATTTATAAAAGTAAACCATTATAGGTCAAAGTACGGTCTTCAACACGGAGCCTTGGCTCACACCGAACAGCAAGCTATAAAGGGCCCCAAAAATTACTAGTGTAAAACCATTCAAACGGGAAAACCAACGGTCTAATCTATATAAAAAACGAGAAACGAGAACCAATTATGAACCACATCAACAAATGACAACTACTGAACATCAGGTTCCATGTCTTCTTTGACTGTCCATGACGTAAAAACACTAAATCCCTGGGGTGTTTTAGTTGATTTTAGTCTCTGATGCATTATTTTTTTAATATTAATTGTTTATGGATTTTAACTAGCTTTCACTAACTGCAAGTATTCTCAAATCGTACTTTCGTGTTAATTTGACCTGTTGATACAATTTATAATGTATTTTTGTTTTTTAATGTTTACTATTTAATGTTCTATTTAGTCTCACTATTTTTAATATATACCACCTTTGATACGTGTTTAGTATGACGGTTAATTTTCAATTTTGTTCTAGTACTAGGAACAACAAAATTATTTATTTTGTAAAACTTTTTCGGTACTCCATGCATACCTTACAACAAAATTATTTTTATTTACCTGTGTACGTTAATTTTTTTGGCGGCATTTTGTCCAAGGTTATGGTTGTCTTTCTAATATTGTTTTACATCTTATCCCCTTGTTTTATTGATTTTGTATTTACAGTGTGTCATAGGTCAAATTTATTCGTTCAGTGTATGTTCACTTGTTTTTTCTTATATGTCTTTTGATTGAGTTAAGCCATTTCAATTGATATTTTATAGGGTGTCCTTCTATGTTGTGATGTTACACTATTGTTTCAGGTAGAGTGGAAGTTGGCGCCTATTTAAACGTTCAAACCCGCTGCATGTGTTTGCACCTGTCCTAGGCAGGAACCTGATGTTCAGTGGTTATCGTTTGCTTATCAGATACATCATTTAGAAAACACAATATTTTCAAATAAATTTGTCACTTCAATTATAAGTTTGTATGTTGATGAATACCACATCTTTGGTTTTCTTGGTAATAGGTGGTAATTGTTTCCTTAAGGAATTCATAGTTAATACGCAACACTTATCAATATTTATAAATGTGAATATTAAAATTTAGTTAATTACAAATATAAACATATAATATAAATTGAAAATTATAGGAAGTCAAATTAAAAAAATTCAATTTTTTTTAATGTGTAGGGAAATATTGCTTCATAAACTTTCCTTCATCTTTTATAATATTTAATTTCCATGATTTGTTATAAAAATGTTAAAATAAAACAAAATTTTAATTAATTTCATTGTTTCTGTCCTAGAGTGGTAATATCAGAAACTGGACACATTGTGTATTATTATCTCTACTGAAAAGAAACTCAGCTTTTTGTTTTAAACGTCTGTTTGTTAAGTAATAGTATCTGTCACTTTATAATCATGAGACGACAGATTTACAGCTTTAATTAACCATTTTATAATTGAGAGAAGATATGAAATTTTCACTCTGAAGCTTAGATGCAAGACTGGTTATGGTCTTATATAAGTTTATGTACCGTTTTCTTTTCTCAATTTGAAGATAAGTACATTTTGTTTTAAATTGAACATGTGGGCTTATATTTTCACTTTCGTTGTACGCCTAGATGTTTTGATATATTTAAAAAAAATAATTAAAGCATAATCGTTCAATTAACAATCGTCACTCAAATTTAGTCTCAATTGATTGTGATTAGGTACTATAGGAATTCTTGATTCTTTAGTGGAAATGAAGTGTCTTTTGGACGTTGTATGATTGTAAAATATATGACTTATGTCGTTTTTGCATCAAAAGACATTAACCATATTTCGACTAGTTATTAAGTTGAGTTAAATCATAACATGCATAAGGGCTGTGTTCTTGTATTAAGACTGTATTTTTACTAGAATATACGGGGAAGGTATCAATCTACAGATAGTATTATTTCTACATATATTATATAAAGGTAGGGCCCAAAAACATAACCCTTACAGACACTTTACCCACTGAAGACGTAAGAAAATTTGATGCAATAATTGAATTTCGGAAAATGAAGGACTGTGATCATTGATTAAAATGATATAATCAACAGGTTAAGAAAAGGACAGTCGGATAAGAATTACAGATCATATCTGATGACGTCACGTAGCAAGATAGCAAGAACACATAATTTTGCAGATCATTGAAACAGGGGGGATTAACGTCTACATATCGTTTAGACGGATCATTAGAGAAATAGATTCCATACCAAATCTCGATGCAGTGGTAGAATCTATATTTATCTAAATTGTGCTTTATCGCTTTTCAGGTATATTGACAGTCACAGTACCACAATCATCATATAGTGTGAATTATGGTCAATCAGTACAGTTGGTATGTACTGTATCCGGAACTCCTGCAGTACAAAATGTGTACTGGCAAAAGATCACAAATAGCGTTCAGACAAATATCAATTCTACCACTAACGCGAACAAATATTCTGGATCTACAATAGGAACCTCGTCTCTGTCCATCCTGAATGCTGACAGTGATGACGTAGGATCCTACACATGTTACGCTACAAACTCTGTTGGAACTGGACAGAGTCAACAAACTCAACTTTCTGTAGTTGGCAGTAAGTATGTCTTAAACTTGCATTGATGCGTATAATCTGTCTTACTTTACATATGTTTTGTCAATTAACGACTTTAATTCTGATGATATCGATTTCATATAATTGACACAAATTGCAAAAAAACGAAAAGAAAAACAGTTTACAAAATACTACATCAGCAACTTTGACTGATCAACAAAAAAAAACACAAAAAAAAACATCACAACCATAAAATATACAGACTGAGGTACGACAAAGTAATGAATTCAATCTGAAAGATGCTATTCAGTAGATAATTTAAATATTTTCATTTTCGAATTCAACCTGGCCAAAAAGTGGCCTTGTCATACCTTCTCCTTTCGTAATACGTCTCATCAGAAATCAAAAACTCATGTTTCTTACTTTACTAAATGTTTGACAATAGAAAAAAAAATGGCGTATCCATCGATGACACAAAATCACGGTAAGCAGAGCAAAAAACACAAAAAGCAAAGGAACAACGCTTTTATTAATATGCATATTGTATGTTGTGTGTATGTTTAATCTTTTGTAGATGAACCCTCAGTGACTGTTGGACAAGGATATACCATTGCTATTGGAAACTCGATTACTTTGACTTGTACTATATTTGCCACCCCATCAGCCACCAACGTTCAATGGAATAGAATAACAAATAATGTACCTGTTGCAATAAACGTTACCAGCAATCCAACCAAATATTCAGGTGCTACTGTCATTACACCATCTTTGACAATTTCTAACTGTGTTGAGGGTGATGAAGGGTACTATACTTGTCAAGCAACAAACTCCGTCGGAACAGGAATTAGTACCCAGACCTTCTTAAACGTTCAAGGCAGTAAGTAAATGAATATTCCCCCTTCTTTATTACTGTACAAATGATGATGTTTTAATCGCTATTTTGAAAGTAATGGTACAACAACACTAATTTGGGAATATTTTCATTTTTTGATTACTAACATTACTTACATGGTAGAATGAAATTTGAAAAAAGGCAGGATGAGCAACTCGGCAAAACAAAAAAGACAGGATGAAAATTTATGTAAAATAAGTCAGGATAAACTAATAAAAAAAAAAGGCAGGACCTATAATAGAAATAAAAATGCAGGACCTATAATAGAAATAAAAATGCAGGACAGACTACAACTAAAAAAATGCAGGAAAAAATTAATCATCCAAGCCCCCTCCCCCCATAAAAATCAAATGGTAGCTCCCTAAACATATTTTGCACTAAATGCATTGCACGTTAGATGTGTTCTGATTGATATACTTTTCTTAGATACATAATTTTTTAGTTATTGGCGTTGAACAAGCTTTTAGTAATTCAGGTACTCTAATATCTGTACTTTGTGTCTAGAGTAGGTTTGTTAGTTGTTTTTGCGCTTTGAATCGATCTGACAACTAACGAGTAAGCTCTTTTCAATAGACTTTTTATATGCGTTTTTTAGTGTTCTGTTACACCAATGTCCCATGTTAGGGGAAGGGTTTGGGCTCGAAAACATGTTAAAAAAGTCAAATAACAAAATTACCGAACTACAAGAAAATTTAAAACGGAAAAGTTCCTGAACAAATACCAAATCTAAAGCTCAAACACATCAAACGAAAAAAAAAAAACAACTAGCATATCCTTGCCTTGGTACAGGCATTTTCTTAATTGGAAAATGGTGAATTTATTGTAAATAAGAAGATGTAGTATGAGTGCCAATGAGACAATCTCCATCCAAGTCACAATGTATAAAAAGTGAACAATTATAAGTCAAAGTACGGCCTTCAACACGGAACCTCGGCTCTCACCGAACAACAAGCTATAAAGAGCCCCGAAATGACTTGTGTAAAACAATTCAAACAGGGAAACCAACGGTCTAATCTATATAAAAAACGCCAATCTTCACCCTAACCTGAAACAGTAGTGTAACATTACAAATTAAAAAAACACACTATAGAATGTCAATTGAAATGGCTTAACTCGATCAAAAAGACATATACAGGTAAACTAAACAAACACTGAACGAATAAGTTTGATCTATGACACAATATAAATACAATAATAATAAAAAAAGATATAGGATTAATGTCAAAAAAGACAACTCTAACCTGGGACAAAATGGCGTTAAATAAAATAACGTACACAACAGGTAAATTCAAATTCAATATTTTTTTTGTTATGAGTACGGAAACATTTTTTACAAAATAAATAAATTTATTGTTCACAGTACAAGTACAGAAGTGAAAATTTATCGTCATACTAAATACTGATCAAATGGGGTACATATTAAAAATAGTGGGACGAGATATAACCCAAAATAGGTAAACATTGAATAACAGAAACGTATTACAAATCGTGTCAACAGGTCAAATTAACACGAAAGTACGATTTGAGAGTACTCGCAGTTAGTGAAAGCTAGTTAAAAGCCAAAAACAATCAGTAATAAAAAATCATGTATCAGAGACTAAAACCTAAACCGTGTTTTATAGCTAGATAAACGTCTCACTTCTATGACAATCGCATAAATTTCCATTATATTGACAACAATGTGTGAGCAAACCAAACAGACATAATAGGTAAAAATGTCAAAAATGTGGGTACAGCAGTCAACATTGTGTTATAATCTTAATCACTATAAAACAAACAACTATGTCAACAAAGAAAAAGAAAATGGCATATAGACTTTCTAGAGACAAAGCATATGAGCAAAATTTAAAGCCAAAAAAACTAAAAAATAACAATAGCACAATGACACAATGGCGGAATTTATAAATACCGAGAAACGACAAAATGATATTACTAACAATGGACTATACAGGAAAAGTTAAAATATACAAAGACAAATAAAAAGAACACTATAACACGTAACAAAGATGATAAACAACGTCAGTACCTAGGATCTATACTAAGAGACCATCATGTATTTTTTGTGAAGTTGATACGGAATATTTATCAACAAGGTTGGTATATTTCTCAGAAAAAGGACGAGACGTTCTTTGACATAATCCTGTTTCATCAGCTTTCTGCTCAAACACTTGTGAATTTACAAAGTCTGAGTAGCAGCTGCAAGCTCTTGAATACTGAATGAGTTGAGAAATGTAAATCCCATATGTAGGTGAGGTTTGTATATTTTGCTGCTAAGATGGGAGAAATTTATAATTTCAAAATTAAAATCTTCTCGTTTGTCATAGATTCTGGTACTGAGATGACCGCTTATGTCAAATTCGAGGTATAAGTAAAACATGAGACGGAAGAACCCGTGTCTGTTGTTTATTTAATTTATAGCCCTGATGGAAAGAACATCATTAATATATCTGAATGTGAAATTAAATGATATGGCTTCTTTGATCTGTTTGTTTTTGACATGTGTCTGAAGGAACTCCGACTCATATGAAAATAAGAAGAGTTCGACAAGGAGAGACGCACAGCTCGTTCCCATAGGAATGCCGACAGTTTGTTTAACCCTACTACATTCTATATGTGCATGTCCCAAGTCGAAGGACTGTTATTCGGATATTGTCGTTTGTTGCTGTTTAACATTTTTTTGACGTGACGTAATTGTGATGTACATTTTGCTCATGTTTTGTTTCATTGCGCCACTACCAGAGGTAAGTGTGCGGTTTTGGCGTCCGCTTATATATGGAACATCGCAACGTTTTGTATGTGCCTGTTATTTAGTTGTTGTCGTTTTTTGCTATTATTATATGTGTTTTTCATCTATTGATTTGTACATAAATCAGGCTTTTAGTTTTCTTGTTTGCATTATTTAACATTTCTGATTTCGGGGGCTGTAATAGATTGCTCTGCAGTATGAGTTTTGATTATTGTTCAATGCTGCGGAGTCACATATTGAAGATGATGATGATGATGATGATGATGATGATGATGATGATGATGATGATGATCATCATCATCATCATCGACATCATCATCATCATCATCATCATCATCATCATCATCATCATCAATATGTGACTCCGCAGCATTGAACAATAATCAAAACTCATATTGATGATGATGATGATGATGATGATGATGATCATTATCATCATCATCAATATGTGACTCTGCAGCATTGAACAATAATCAAAACTCATACTGCAGATGATGATGATGATGATGATGATGATGATGATGCTTAAAAAAAGATGTTTTAAATCAATTATTCAGATCCGTTCATTGATTTGACCTTATATGGATTTGGTTATTTGTTTTAGGTATTTTTGTTATATAGCTCTTCAACTGTTTCGGTACTTATACATCCCTCGGATTTCAAATGTTTGGCTTTGAGCGTTCCTGATGAAGGTAGGTCCAGAGAGGCGCTTCGGACGCATGAAGTTATTAAACGTGTTGTTTTCAATGTTTTACATCACTGGGTCGATACCTTTGCTGGTGGACTATCAGTCCCCGAGGGTATCATCAGCTCAGTAGTCAGTACTTCGGTACTGACATGATTAATAACAAACTTTTCTAAAATTGCCCGTTTATAAATTTTGAAATTATAAAGAAACTAAGGTTTCAACTCCCTCAGGCAAAGTTGACCTCAGATGGATTTGGTTATTTATTTTAGGTTTTTTTGTTATATAGCTCTTCAACTGTTTCGGTACTTATACATCCCTCGGATTTCAAATGTTTGGCTTTGAGCGTTCCTGATCAAGGTAGGTCCAGAGAGGCGCTTCGGACGCATGAAGTTATTAAACGTGTTGTTTTCAATTTTTTTCATGCATTACAATAGTTCTTTAAGGAAGACATGTTGGCATCAATTTCCTTAAACATTTTGACCATAGCAGAGATAGAAGACCGCTATATCCACTCTCGCTCCAGCTTCAGCTTCTTTTGATACATAGTCACATAGTTATTCGATTGAATATTTCGGGGACTTTAAAACGCTTAGTTCAGTTTGATTTTATTGTTCGAATCATGTGTGTACCAGCGATGCCTACTTTTATATTTTTAAAGTGGGCGGTATAAAGTGATATGGGAGTACGTTGGACTATCCGTTCGACTATCTGTTCGTTTTATTGTCCTTCTTATGTATCTTTACCTGCGTTTTGACCATTTGATGGAATATTGTGCAATTTATATAAAATCTTACTCAAATTAAATGGGGACCTAAATAAGAGGAGCCAAAAATTTGCTGTTGATTCAAGAGAGTTGAATATCCCTTTTGTAATCCTAAGCAAATAACAATATTATGAAGTGCGCTGATTTTGATGTTGAGAACAGAACGTCAATTTGAAACAGGACGGAGGCCTGAGTCCAACCTATATGTCTATTGATTTTTGTTTTTGAATATAGTTAGTATACATGGACAATAAGGTTTGTAGAATAAACTTTGAAATTTATAACATCTATCATTTCTTATTGTTTGACTAATAATTCATTTATTTATCTGGTTATCATTAAAGCAATACCTGTGGTTACCATTGTCCAATCACAGTATAATGTAAATGTTGGTTCATCCGTTACCATGGTTTGTTCCGTATCAGCAAATCCTGTTCATACATCAGTTTATTGGCAAAAAGATGTAAATGGAGTAGCAACAAATATCAATCTCTCTCAGACGAGTAAATACTCAGGATCTACTACCACATCACCATCTTTGACTGTTCTGAATGCTGTAATTGCTGATCAAGGATATTACACCTGTAATGCACACAATAGTGTCGGTACTGGTAGCAGCTCACAGACATTTCTGGGTGTATTGGGGAGTAAGTAAAGGTTATCCGTAATGGGGAGGGAAATATAATGTCAATAGTAGAAAAATATATTACGAAGATTGGTTTAACACATCTTAACAATTTTATATCCATTAGACATTAATACTAAACTAGGCTGTTTTGTGATTTATAAACACCTAACATCTATTACCATACCTTCATGATATCCTTACATTTTAAACAAACAATCAGGATTCTCCCTCGTGAAGCTTATCTTCCCATTAGGCCACTTATCTTATTCAATCGTGAAAATGGACGCCATTGTAGGAATGACGTAAGGGAGGTTTTAGTGAACGGTGTGTCAGACTTTTCTTTTTTCAGTACATTTAATAACAAAATAATTCATATGCCTAAACTTTAATTTAAACGAAAATAAAATATAACACAAATACGAAATGTGTTTCACTTAACCCATGCAACGGCACAGGCGTTATAAAATAAGATGTGTAAGTCATCATAGTGTATAATGGACAAATCCTCCATATATATACATTATCACAATTGTATTCTGTATCACAAACTTTTCTTCTATTATAAAAATTTCACATTAAAAATTTATAAACTTCAATTCATATAAATTTTCAAAATCGCAGTCTCTCATGCTACAAATATATACCTTATTTCTCTTGTAATGTGAAGTTTTATTTAAATCAACATGCAGTCAACATACATTCAAATAATGGAATTTGAAGAGGAATAATTTAGCCAATATTTTGTATACGTTTTCACGCCTGAACATAAAAAAAGGTGTACCGTCTTTTCGTGTTCGATAAGATTATTGCCCATTTCTACGATTTTTTCTCACAATATCTTTTGCCTGTGGCAGAGATGCAAATTAATGCTTTAAACAAGAATCTTTTATCTATCTGTGGATTTTTTTTTCTACCTAATTTATGCTTATGCACAAAAAAGATCCACATGTATTTACACCTTCCATCATCGATTGTTGTGTAAATTTGTCTTTAATTTTAAATGTTTCAAATATCTCGAAGCTCCATACTATAATCTAAATATACGAACACGTGTATAAGATGCAAAAAATCCTAAATTATACATCTAAATTAAACTTTTAAAGCCCTTAGAAACAGATATAAATAATCAAAATATACCAACTTGGCCATTTGTACCTTCACTAATAAAGCGTCCATTTCTTTTATTTAAGGCCAAGGAACAGTAAATGGGTTATGTCACATAATTTGCAAAACATTTTGCATACAACCGTGGCTCGTTGAAGTATAACTGAAAATCGAAAAATGCATTTATCTTTTTTATTATCTGAAATATTGCTGATCAAATTCCTTCAAAATAGGTGAACATTTGTATAGAAAACACATACAATCGTCGATAAACCTTTTTAAATTTGTCTTAAAACCATCAAATCACTAATTTCTAATGCATAGATTTTTCTTTAAAAAAACTGTATGTTGTTTATACACAAATTTCCGTTTTAATGATATAAAATAACTAGAAGAAACCCGTGCGAGCACGACTTGACGACTAGTTGAAATGTTAATGGTGAGACACTGCACAGCACTACATCGTGCAGTTTGATTAGTGTTTCTCAAACTTTTTTGTGCACTGATGCATGGTGTTGATCGTGTTTATTAGTTTGTCAGTTCCTCTTCAATAAGGAGTTTGAATGTCCAATTGGTAGCATCTGTCTCTGTGTTAAACAGGTGCTCCGAGGTAGGTGGACATAACTTTGAGAAGAAGAAGACAACCTAGAAAACTAATGATTAAAACATTTCTTCAGTGGTGCCAACTTATTGTATTTTTGTTTTGTTTCGAGTGGTGCGAACCAAGTTCTGTCTCTGTGTGACACGGGTGTTCCAAGAACGGAGGAAATAACTAAGAGAAAATAATCTAGAACTGTCTGATGATCAAAAACATTTATTCAGTTGTGCGTGTTTGTAGTATTTCTTTTTTTTTCTAGTGGTGAACGATCTGTCTATGTGTGATACAGGTGCTCCGATAAATGAGGAAATAACTAAGAGAAGAAGAAAACAATCTAGAATTTTGTAATGATTAAACACATTTCTTTGAGTTTTTAATGTTTCTTTTTTTTTTAATGGTGCGAGATGATAAAGTGACGACAGTTGTAATAATTGGTGCGAGAGTGACTGGTGCGAGTTGGCTGTGGGCCGTTTTGTCATTAATTCCATTTCCGCCAGCTTATATTAGAAAACATAGACGGTAAAACTAGCTACGGTACTTTATTTGGGGATTATTTAATTAAGCTACGCTTATTAAAGCAGATACTTTATGAAGTTATAAAGTACATAACATATACTAACTATTTATTAATATATTATACTTCAGATGATGGTCGGCTAGGATACAAACCGGCTAAAAAATTTCGGTCTACAAATTTAATAGTATAGATTTTATAGGGTCACCGACTTTGTTTTTTGTCTAATATTCAATCTGTTATTTAGTTGGTAGTGAAAATCGTCATCAAATTTACGTTTTACGGCCTGCAACGCGGTGAAGTTACGATTATTTTGACGTTTTGTGGTATTTTGTTACATAGAACACTACTTTCAATGGTGTATACCATAAAAACGAAGTCGGTGACCCTATCATTATTTAACATCATTACAACTGTAATTTATGTATCAACAACTTATAGTTTTTATAAAGAAAAATCTATATATCAGATCGTTGAGATTTGGTGATTTTAAGACAAATTTAAGAAGGTATTTTGTTTTCGATTTTCAGCTATAGTTTAACGAGCAAGAGTTGTATGCATGATTTTACCAAAATCTGTGACATTAGCCTATTTATTTTAACTTGGCCTTAACGTTAACTGAATATCATCCTGCAAAGAGGTTATTTTAGGAACGACTAGATGAAACACTACATGCAAATGAAGTGATTCGATTCTGATATGAATTACGTGTGTCCATTCGATACGTTAGAACATAATTATGTTTGTCCTTTCGATCCTGATATATGTGTGTCTATCTCTTTGCTTTAGGCGTTCCTGTAGTAACCATACTATCAACCAGTTACTCTGTCAATGTCGGAAACTTCATTACATTACAATGTATTGTAATTGCCAATCCAACAGCAACAAGTGTCACCTGGCAGCGTTACATCAATAATGTAGCAACGGATATTAGCATGTCTAGCGGACGTTACGGCGGAAGTTCAGTGAGTTCACCGTCTCTCGTCATAAGTAATACGGCTATCTCAGACGAGGGGTTCTATATCTGTACAGCTACTAACAGTGTTGGATCTGGGCAAAGTCCACAAATATTCTTGGATGTTATTGGAAGTAAGTGAAAGCATATTATAAACTTTTTATTTCTTGTATGACGGGTTATGATTGTAAGTTTATCAGATCTTAAATAGGCAAAAGTAAAAAGTTTAGATTTGCAAGTAATTAATTCATGCATTGTTTTTTTTTAGGTATTCCCACTGTTACTGTTCCACAATCTAGCTACACAGTAAACAGTGGATCATCAGTTACACTACAATGTATCTATACTGCCAACCCAGCAGCTACCAGTGTTATGTGGGAAAGAACTATAGCCAATCAGGTCACAGTAATATCCACAGCCAGCAATAAATATGATGGTTCTACCACACAGTCACCATCTTTGATATTAAATAACGCTGACGAGTCTGACCAGGCCAATTATGTTTGTAAAGTAATCAACAGTATAGGAACTGGAATCAGCTCTCCTACAATTCTTGACGTTTTGGGCAGTAAGTGTATATTCAATATGAAATAACATCCAAATCACATACATGTATTTACATAGAGAAAGAGAGACACACATATTGTCACATTTTAAAAGTTCTATTTAGAACTACAAACATGTTAAACCACAATTTCACTGCGCACTTTATACGTTTCTATGCTGATTACATGCTTGGAACGCCAATTACTAGAAACATCTACGAAATAAGACAAGAAAAACATCATCAAATATTTATGTGACTTAGTACCAACCCTACTGCAATCATTTATCTGATTCAGCATCGTTTCTTTTTCAACATTGAAATAAGTTACCATATTTGAATAAATGAAAATGTGGGTTGATTCATTGCGACAGTCACTCAACAGCATTTTCCGTAAAACATGAAAATACAAAATAAAACGTAACCCCGTAACAAGCGGTTTACTTGTGACGTCGTACAATAAGTTGTGGGTTTACAATAAGTATTACAACACTTAACCAAAAACACAATTTAACCTGGATGTGGGTATCATTACGTATCATTGAGGGAATCACTGGAATAATAAAAGGCAGGACCTGGCTGTGTGGACAGAGAAAGCGTCATAGATTATAAATCAAGTTGATTATCAGAATCAAGCATACTAAAATTTGAATTATTTTATATTTTTATCAGACATACCTGTTATTACAACGCCTACATCAGCATATACAGTAATTATTGGTGGTTCTGTTACCATAACATGTACCGTGACAGCTAACCCACAGCACACTAGCGTTTACTGGCAGTTTACATCAAGTGGTTCATTAACCAATGTGGACATTGGAGGAAGGTTCAGTGGCTCAACAGTCAGCTCACCATCTCTAACAATATCAAATGCACAGTTATCAGATCGGGGAACATATGTTTGCTATGCTACCAACAATGTAGGAACAGGACAGAGTACACATGTTGTACTGGCTGTTACTGGCAGTAAGTAAAAATAAATTCAACATAATAGTTTTAGAAAGTGACCATTCAGTTAAATTGCTTGCAGGACTATTTAGCCTATGACATTCAGAACTAAATATATTTCTAATACACCTTAATAACACTTGGCTATTGAATATATCATTGGAAATGAATAAATGTGCAGATTTCAGTTTGTCCGGTCGTAAAAGTGAAATATGATATAAGTTTGTTTAAATCCGGGTTACTGTAAAACATGAAAATTAACACTTATTAAGTGTTATGAACTAATTTAAAGCTGGGGTTTTAGAATTGTTTTTTTTTTCTTCACCTTATAATACTGTAATATTGTGTATTTGATTGACAATTGCATATGCTACATGGTATGGCAATAATTGACATCATTTTGACATTTTTACTCAGAAATGAGTAAAACAGTACTATTGGCAAATTACAATACAATTCGAATTATTTTGACCTTTAGTATACTATTTTGTATTATTATCATTGTTCTAGTATGCATCTATAAAGGAAATAAATTTTGTTTTTAATGATAGAAGTGCGAAAAACATAAAACAAAACAGGATCAAAAGTAGACATTTTTGTCACATCCACAGTGATGAGGATCTCCAGTTTTTGTAAAGCCTATCGACCGCATCAAGGTCGCGGATCGTCTTGTAGTGGTTTTCCCTATTTTGTAAGATAATCTATAGGGAACAGCAAAGGGTTTTTCATAATTTGAATTCGGAGATTCTACGTTATTTTTCATCTAGTGGAACGCAATGTTAAAAAATAATCACACAAAGCTATATTTATTTTGTGATTTATTAACCTTAATACAATTTAAATTTAAATTTCAAAATTAAGAATCAAGCATGAAAAGCTACTTCTTTATCGTCATTGTCAGGACTATGTTTACTTGTCAATAAAATAGAAGAGATATAACTTTTCTGACAAGGACATAATTCTGTGGAACGAAGATTTTTGTTCAACACAAACACTATTCTCTACAACAAGTACAAATCCAATCCTGAGGAAAGTCTTTTTACATAAGACCAGCAAACATAACTGTGTTTGGACCATTACAACCTTTTTGCCAACCGTGATCATAGGGTCACCGTATTGGTGGCTTTATCAGATTTCATGTCAGCCATATGATTATTTGTATGCGGATTCTTAGAACGTGTTATTACAATTATGATTTGTTCGGTTAACGGCGAACAAAAGAACAGTCTTTGCTGATTGTAAGTCTAAAACGTAGCTTTTTTAAATAGTGGTGTCTGGACATATATTTGTCTGTTGTGTCGTACAACATTGATACAAGTTTTCTTGCAACCAAAATGAAGGTGTCAATATCTGCATTGCGAAATTGTGATAGGCCCGTCATATGACGACTTCAAAAGCTTAACGACAGATTTTTCCCAATGATAAAAAGAGCTGATGTGCTGTCAGAACATGATCTGCCGGTAGAGGTTTACGTGTAATGTATTTAAAGAACTACATGCACTCAGTTTATAAACTTGGTTGTATCTCCTGCCATCCTAACCACTACTGACAGAATCCATCAAGTGTTATTAGTGACCTGTGTTCAACATCCGAGGAATGCAATGAACATAGAGAACTAAACCATCAGTCTCTGAATATTTGATTGTCGTTCTCCTTCTGACATTACATTCCTTCAATTGTCGTTTTCATGAAGAGCATATGGAACGAGTCGTGTGTCTGCTTCCTCGGCTGGGGGTGTTGAACAAGCTCAGTTGTTTGATCGAAAGTAATTATTTTCACGAATTTTGGAAAAGTCCCTGTTAGATATAATGTTGGTACAACAGGCATGCATGGGATAACTTGGCACGATAAAATGTCTAATTAAATTCTCCCATAATGTAGACCAAATCGTGCTTATTCTATTTTGTTTTGTACAGTTGGGAATACTGCTTCCTTTATTTACCTGGTTGATCTTGTGTCCACCAGTGTTTAAGAACGACGTTCCGTTTCGGCTGTAAAATAGAGTATATGATATCATTTCTATCAGACACGACACAACAGGAAAACGTTTTTAAGTCCTCTATTGGAAATAAAAAATCTATCGATCTGGTACATTCAACAAGTGAATAAGAGCCATATTATGTCTGATAACAACCGTTGGTCATTGGTGAAATAATGGAGGATAAAAAATGTACATACCTTACGTTCAAGTTCATACCCAAGATCAGATTTGATACTTTTTTCTATCATAGCGAAAAGGTGATGATGTGTATCCAATTGGGACAAAAGCCTTTTTTTTCAATTTAAACATCGTCTCTGCATTTCATCTATGCTGGTGCACGACGAAGTATGAGCTCTGGGTGGATGTTTGCTTGAACTTTCTCTTCTGACGCAACTCAGAAGGATGCTGTCGAATATCAAATAGGTTAGCCATTGTCTCCTACTAATGACTGATTAAGTCTATGACTTGCTGTTCATCCCGTTTCATAGATGGAGGTAAACTTTCATCCTGTGTGTTATCATCAGAAGTTACTAAATCTTATCTCATTTTCTTTCCTGCACTAAAATGTCCTACTACATCATTACCTCAAAGATAAGAAAAAAAGCTCGAACTAGTCTATTGATTTCTTTTCAAGAAAAGGTACATGATGCGTATACTCCTGATTTAACGAGTAGATCTGCTCGAGCCCCATCCCGCATTGTTTTCTGATAGAAGCACTAAAGCATGATATTATGTGGAACACTCCAAAACTAAAGGTATGATTCTAGAATATTAGAAGCCTGGACCATTTTACCTACAGTGCAATGGTATACAGCAGTTGGTCAAAAGTCTGAACTGACGAATACTGCCGGCCGTTTTTCATACACATATCAACTCATCGTTTCATGTTAGTATACACAGTTGCCATATCGCTTGGTTTGGCATCGACGATAGATTACATCATACTTCACTGACAGATTTACAGTAATATAACTATTTCCTGTCCAAAAAGAATAATGTGATGATCAGGCGTTTCAAATTTGGAAATTCAACAAAATAGCTGGAAGTAAATATATTTTGTGCACTTCGATCGTACGAATATTTGAAACTATCCTCATTGCACAAGGATTTTTTGTACATGAAGATGTTTATTGTCGGCCTGAGGTTTGATCGAAAAATGTGATAAAGTTTAGTTTTCTAGTAAAAGTGTTATAATAGTTTTTATGGTTTTTGACCCTGTCAAGTGACACTTTTTCGATCGTTTTATAAAACAAGCTTTCTATATTTTGTCCTTCTGGTTAGTTCACGAGAGAAAGAAGAATTGCCTTCCCTCAACAGCTGGATATCATAACCGCTCTGCCGTAAATACTTGACAAACGTCACATCGTTGCAAGTTGATAGTGAGTCTACCCTTTTTAGAGGTAGCAGTAATCGTTAGTTTGAAAGGCCTACATGTCAATTGAGACATTACCTAAGAAAAGTTATTCCCGTAAAGATTATTATATAAAGGAGTCGCATTTATTCTGAATTTTCATTTAATGAATACCTATAGTGAAAATATTTATCAATTGTGTTTATGATACTTGTCAAATAAACTTTTACATAAAGGAATAATTTTAACATTTTAATATACAGATAAAGAAATGATCACGTAGAAAATGAATTCCGTCATTGGGATTGAATTAATGATTGCTGAAAAGGCTAAACATTTAAAATTATATATTAATTTGTAACAACATGCAAAAAATGCGATCTGAACTCAGAATAATTACTAGATATGATTTTGGTTAAAAAAAAACAATGTGAAAAGAAAATTGAAAAAAGGGGTCGTGTTTTGAAACAATGATGAAAACCAGACAATATTATTCATTCAAATTATTTAATTTACTTAAACATTTTATAAGCACAAATAAATGAATTGTATTAAACGAATTAGAAAGTACTTGTTAATAATTTACGTTGAAACACAAGTGGTAAATTTTCAGGTTAAAACTATTTTTCGACTGAATTTAATTTGTACAAAATATTGCACAGTACGATTTAATATATAGTAACACAACATGGAGTGGAGATATTTAACTATCCTTGTTTGTGGGGTAGGTGAATTAAAAGAATAAAACCGAATAGTCGTTTTTGAAAATGTCACCCGCCTTTATATATATAAAGTCTGTTACAATATAAAGTGATGAAATCAAGTATATTTCTTGTGCTTTATGCACCACAGAGAGATTGAAAATTACAACATAAAAGATTTCAAAATACCGTAGACACTATGATTGTCACTAGTACTTCTACAATTTATCTTGTTTATATCATAATATATATGAAGATATAAATATTATTTATAATAACTTATATCCTATCAGGTGTTCCTAGTGTGAGTCTTACACGGACATCTTTTACTGGTAATTATGGTGATACAATTACACTTGGTTGTACTGTATCCGCAAATCCTGCTGCTAGCTCTGTTTACTGGCAGAAAGTATCGGAAAGTACAACTTCCACTGTAGACATGTCTAACTCAAGATATACTGGATCATCGGTCAGTACACCATCCCTAACCATAAACAATCTCAATAGTAATGATGCTGGGAATTATATATGTCTAGCCGCCAATTCAGTTGGAACTGGTCAGAGTATACAAGGACCTTTAACGGTTATTGGAAGTGAGTATATATTCCAATACGAAATCACCATTTCAGTTCTAGTAAGCAATGTAAGCATTAGTTATGAAACTAAAAAGAATAGTTCAAAACCAAATAAACAGCCCATGAGTTTTCAAAAGATATAGTATTAGTTATTTCATACAACGAGGAAAAAATATTTTGTTTTAAAATGTGCTCGCCTATAACCCAGTCATTACACTAATGTGAGAAGTGGTAAGATTGGCAATGGCACAACTATATCTGAGTCCAAACAACGTAAATGTAAGCAGCTATATATGATTTTTATATCACCTTACGGCCGTCAATGGTAAACAAAAAACCAATATCGTATAGTCATCTATAAAAAGCCCGACACGACAAATAATTTATTATGACAAAATTCAAACCAACATACTGATTGTGCTTTAAAATCATAAAGTGTTAATATGAATAATACCATCATCTAATACTGATATTTGACTTAAACTGATTCTAAAATTTATATTTCCTCATAGATTGTAGTTGCTTCATCCGTTTGTTTCCTGTTTAATGTAAAAAATTCAGTTTTTACACCTTCTCCGATAATCTGTAGCCAGTGGCTCCCTCTTTTAAATTTCACCATACATTTTGCATCTCTATATTTTTTTCAATCTATTTTATTTTAGACGTCCCTGTAGTAACAGTACGTCAATCAACTTACTCATCAAACATTGGGAATACCATCACACTTGCGTCTGTAGTGTCAGCAAACCCTGCACACACTGCTGTTTACTGGACACGTCAGATCAACAATGGCAATACTGAAACTCTAAATCCTGCTTCCTCCTCAAAATATTCCGGATCAACTACACAGTCACCGTCACTGACTATAAATAATGCAGACATATCTGATGAAGGCAAATATATATGTCATGCAACTAATATTGTTGGCACAGGTCAAAGTTCAGAGACATTCTTAGATGTTATTGGAAGTAAGTATACAAAGGTGCTGGAGCATCAAATAATTGTATAAGATCAAAGAAGTAAGTTCTAAATGCTAGATTAAATGAGCAATACGACTTCTGCATCGGAATGACTGCATCTTTATGTGATTATTTTGATTTTACTACGCTATGAAAGTAAGTTAACATTAAGGATGTTCGCTACTCTGTTTTAAAATAACAAGCTTTTTAAAAGACTGTTATAAATTGTATATAAATAATAGAACTAAAAACGCAGAAAAAAAGAAGGGCCCGTGTACTTGTTTTCGAGATATAAGCCATTGAAAATTTTGCGGGAAATGATTCTCTCTAGAGTATTCATACACTTAACATTGCCATCTTTTTTCTTTCAAAAACTATGAAAAAATAACAAGGATTTTATAAGATCTTCAAATATGGCTTTTTAAACTATATGTGATAAAATTATGAAAAGAAAAGTAGGGGTTATCTGGCAAAATGTGCAATGGCAGTAGATGGATAAAACCAAAGGATTCCGAATATCTTACAAAAAGTCAAAATCAAGAGGAGCAAACGTCCTTAAAAACCAACTACAAGCAATATGTTTTCCATTTTTATATACCGATTTAATCATAACACGTCTATTCATTGTTCATAACAATATAACATTGATGAGCAATATTTCAATCACAATAATGTTTTGAGGTTTTAAATGTTATTATTCTTTTGATCGGATTGCAATTTCAAGAAGTAATGATGATGTAATTCGACAGTACAACTATGTGATATGTTCTTATAAATAGATATCCCAAATGTAACAGCGTCAATACTTGTCTCCTCCGTCCAAGTGGGAAGTCCTGTGACAATTAGATGTATCGTGATATCAACACCAGCAGCTACTCAGATATTATGGCAGAGAAATGTAAATAATGCCGACACAACTATGGATTTAAGTAGTATCAGATACAGTGGAGGAACGACATTTAACCCGTCTCTTACTATCATCAGTGTACAATCAGGTGATCAAGGACAGTATTTTTGTCAAGCTTCCAACAGCGAGGGAACAGGAACTAGTAATACTGTCTATCTAACTGTTACTGGAGGTAAATGTTATAATCATCTTTTGATAAAATGATTGCAAAAGTACTTTTCTGTATTCAGAAGGAGACAAAAACACAATCATTGAAATAGTACTTTTCTGTATTCAGAGAAAAAAACATATTTAAGTTTTATATGATTATGCAGCTATTTCTTATATTAATAGCCTCTAGTGCCTAACTTCTTGGTATATACAGTTTTAAATGTTTATTTTTTAGATGCACCTACATCAATTGCTATAAGTCCCAGTCCAATATCTGTAAATGAAGACCAGACTATAACAGCTTACTGTACAGTTCAGGGCAGTCCAACAATAACATACATCTGGTTTAAGGGCAATTCCACTACACAGTTTTCCGATGGTTATATACTTCAGATACCTTCCTCAAAACGGACGGATGCTGGAACATACAAATGTAGGGCTTCGAACACCTATGGTAATGCTAACGCAACTGTTTCAGTGGAAGTTAAATGTAAATATATTTTGATTATTTTTTTTTATAATGAATTTCTTTTTATTTGTAAATGAACATAATAGTAAGTTATACACATTTTATGCACAATATAATATATAGACAGAAGATATACAACATATTCTAAATTAGTAGACACAGGTAAAATAGTTTAATACATTGTAGAATATGTAGACAGAGGCTGCTTGGACAAAGAATAAATATTTTTAATTTATACAACATATGGTGTCTGTTGTTTATCTTTGTTTTTATGATAATAAAGGGGTCCAGGGGTTCCAGCAGTTCTCTGCCCTACTCAGACTTTTATTATTATAAAATATATTTTTTTCTATTAATAAGTTTTCTTTTAAATAATGTTTTAGTGCTATCATATTATTTTGTTCTAATGATAATTTGCTTCTATAAAAATAGAATTTTGTTAACAGAATTATTAAGTTTCTTATATCATTTTTATCGGTTTTCGTTAGAATGCCAAATAAAACCAAACCTATATTTAAAGTTAGTTCTATTTCTATCTTCTCGAATATCCAGGAGTTAAGGTCCTCCCATAATTTTGATATATACGGACAAGTCCAGAATATATGTTCTTTTGTTTCGACCTCTCCACACCCAAAACTACATTTATTTGTATCTTTCACTTTTATTTTAAAGAGAAGTTCATTCGTGGCTTAAATTTGATGTATTATTCTGTATTGAAACCCCTGCAGTTTAGAATTCTTAGTAATATAAAAGGGCAATATATAGATATTTTTCCAATTGTAGTTTGTATTTAGAAGTATAGACCATTTTTGTTCACTCTGTTGAAGATTTGACTTTTTACTATTTAAAATATTATACATATCTTTAGAACCTCTCGGGGATTTAAAAAATATTTTAATAACTGAGGGCAAAACTGGACAATTTTTCCTCACTAAGTCACTGGGACATATATTATATTCTTTTAAATACTTTTTTATTGCAGAAATTAAGCCTTGATATGTAAGGAAACTAGTTTTGATATTGTATACATTTTTAAAGTTATCAAACGTCATGAAATTTCCACATTCATCTAACAAATCATTAATCAGCCAAATCCCTTTTTTAGTCCATTCTTTATATAAAACTGATTGATTACAAATCTTTATCTCATCATTATTCCATATATTGCATGTGTTAATTTGAGATTTATCTTGAATATTTTGAAGATCATTCCAAGCATCAAATACTTCTTTCCAAAATAGATTTTCAGCTTTTTATATGGGCCCAGAAATTGCATTTCCAAAAAATTCAAATTTTCTGAAAAGAGGAATAGTTTTACAAGTTTTGAATTATTTTTATTAATTCTTCTTATCCAGGTTAATTTTAAACCTTTTATGTAGTTTTCAATTTTTATCATTTTGAGACCTCCTGAACAGTGTGGTTTGGATAGAGTTTCTCTTTTAACTTTATCTGGTTTGTTATCCCAGATAAAGGAGAATATTTTGTCAGCAAAATATTTAAGTTTTGTACTATTTGCACTAGGTATGGATAGGAATAAATGGTTTAATTTTGATATTATAAGTGTTTTTATCAATGTTATTTTTCCAATTGGGGAGAGAATTTAGTTTGTCCAAGTTTTTATAGTATTTTCGATTTTTTCTCATCCTGGGGTCATAGTTTAAATTTTCAATTTCATTAAGGTTAACGGAGAAATTTATCCCATGAAGTGTAAATCTGCTGGAACCCCATTCCAATCCCCACTTAACACACATAGTTTCTTGGCTAAACTTTTTCTTCCCAATCCAAACAATCTTCGTCTTGTCTAAATTTAAATTAAGGCCTGATAAATCTGCATATTTATCTAGAGTACGGAGAGATGCATCCAAAGATTCTGGTGATCCATCAAGTATAAGAGAAGTATCATCTACATATTGTGAGATGAGATACTCTGAGTCATCTTTAGTAATTCCTTTAATTTGGTCATTATTTCGTATAAGTATACCAAGTATCTCTGCACACAGTACAAATATATATGATGACAGGGTATCCCCTTGTCGACAGCCTAACTGAATCGAAACGAATTCTGAGAGATGGCAATTTTGAGTTACTGCAGATTGAATTTTAGTATAAAAAGTAACGATCCAATGTTTAATAGATGGTCCAAAATTGAAGAAGTCCAATACGCTTTTAATAAAACTCCAAGAAATTGAGTCAAACGCCTTTTCAAAATCAATAAGGAAGAGAATACCAGGTATGTCATTTTCTTCTGTATACAATAAAATATCATCAATTAATCTAGTATTTTTACCAATATATCTTCCAGGAATAAACCCTGTTTGATCATTATTTATTAAAAGTGACAAGATAGACTTCAATCGCTCTGCAATACAGCTAGACCCAAGTTTATATATTGTCTTTAAAAGACTTATAGGTCGCCAGTTTTTCATATATTGTCTTGGTTTATCCCCCTTTGGTATACAAGTATGTATTCCCTTTTTTTGAGATACTGACATTTCACCCATATTATAGCCATAGTTGATTGACCGAAGAACAAATTTGCCCAAATCTATCCAAAAGAATTTAAAGAACTCACTGGTATATCCGACCGATCCTGGACTTTTGTTATTTTTCCTTCTTTTAATGGCTGCTGGTAATTCTGAATAAGAAATTTCCCCCTCAAGGGTATCTCTTATTTCATTTGTTAACTAAGGGACATCTAAATATGGAATTTCCTTATTGAGATCAACATTTTCTATTGTATCTTTTTTTGAATATAAGTCCTTATAGAAATTTTTGGCTTCCATTAAAATCTGTTGTTGTTTGTTTATACAAAGACCTTCATTATTGACTATTCTTGGAATTGTTTTATTAACAAAATTCTTAGTTTCTAAATTGAGGAAATATTTGGAGGATCTTTCTCCTTCTTCTACCCGTTGCATTTTTGAACGTACATAATGACCACGCATTTTTTCTTGTCTTAAAATTTGTAATTCAGTTTTTTTTTTTTGGTTGAGATTTTCTAGAGTTTCTGTGGTTTGTATATTTTCTTCCAATTTTTGAATTTCATTTACCAGAGCATCTTCCAATTTATTTTTTTCTTTCTTTTTATAGGATGCAAAGGAAATTGTTTTACCCCTAATTTCGGTCATTAATGTTTCCAAGCACAGTTGATCATTTATTGTGAATTGAATATCTAAGCAATCCACCTGATCTAGTGTATCTCTATTGTATACTAAAGTTGCATATTGATCCTTAACTTGTTTTATTTTTGCTTTGACGGTTTCAATATATGCTATATCATACAGTAAACTATCCTCTACTAGTCCTTATCAATCAAACGGTAACATTCCAGCGTGTGAGAATATTACACTATAAAAATATGTTTATATACATGTATACAAGGTAAGGTGATTACAGATATGGAACTAATTTAATAATTTATTTCTGAATTTATTTTTCATTGATTCATTTTTAAATAGTTATATAACAGAGATTTTCCATATATGTTTGATTATATTAGTAATAGTATCCATCGCTCATTTGCAGTATTATTAACAAAAGCTAGCACAAAAAGCACGTAGAAGCACATGTAAGAACATACATATACTTACACTCATAGTAGTATTCTAAAATGTATTAGAATAGAGTAAATACATCAGAAAATAGGAAAAATGTACAAATCTATATGTAGGACTCTAACGTGCGATTGTACTCTAAAGTGCGATGGCCACGCTAAAGTGCGATGTTATACGCTAAAGTGCGATGGTGTCAAACGCTAAAGTGCGATGGTATGACACGCTAAAGTGCGATGGTATAGCATGCTAAAGTGCGATGGTGTAACAGGAATGGGGTTCAGGCAATGGTTTTCGTTTGTTTCTGTGTTCCTATTATTGTAGTTTTTCGTTTATTATTATGTTTATTAATCAAGCCGTTGTCTTTATCTTCTTATTTGTTTTACACTGGACATTGTGTGGCCCTATATATATATATATAATATATAGATTGCTATGCGGCGTAGGCTAAGGCTCCACGTTAAAGGCCGTAGTTATTAGTTGCATATATCAACGACATTTGGTCTTGGGTATATATGTGTCTCATTTTTTTATTCAAAGTACGATAGTTTTCAAAAAAGTGTAATGGGTACATTGCAGTTGCTAGTATATACGTTCAAGTTAAAATACTATGCGGTGAAAGCCAATGCTCCGCGTTAAAGGCCATGCGGTAACCTATTGTTGCTTACAATAATGACATTTAGTCTATCTGGTCGTTAGGTTACTGTCTAGTTGACGTATATCCATATCTTTAACAGAAATAACGAACCATATTGTAAAAAAAATGTTTTGTAGAATGATTCCATTAGAAAGTAAAAAGAAGACTTTATTTCACGCAAGTTCATAACATCTGATTACAAACATAGAAGAAGCTGCGTAATTAAAATTGGACGAATTTAATTCCTCAACATCCAAGTGAGCCATCTCCAGAATCTCCTTTTCCTCTTATGTTAACTTATATTTTGTAACCTTAACTTGAATAGTAGAAATACTAAAATTATTTCAGAATAAATGATCAAATGATCATGCGTATGATCGTCCTGTATATGCATGTGACATTTGCAACTGTACGTTCAACAAGCAACAATAAGTTTATGTTACTTTATCAATTAATTTTACCGAACTACTGAAAAATATTCATTTTTGTTGATTTCCATTGTTGTCGGGAAAACGCACTTTAGCGTATTGAGCCATCGGACTTTAGCGTGTTCCATTTAATAACACAGACTATCGTACTTTAGCGTATCAAACCATCGCACTTTAGCGTAGACCATCGCACTTTAGCGTGACCATCGCGATTTAGCGTCCCCATCGCACTTTAGAGTATATAGCTTTATATGTATATTGCTGGGGACAAAAAGCAGATACATGTATATGAATTATATAATAGTCGATACACTTGTATGTGACGGAGTACAGGAAGGTTCTGTACAAGTTAGCAACAACGGAATTCCTTGCGAACTTGCCACTGATCTCTTAAACTATTGCGTGTTTCAAGGATCACAGTGACTCCTGAATGGCGAATCCGTGTTTTGAGTTTTTCTTCTGACCTAATCTTATACTTATAGCCAATTTTGGCAAGTTCATTCCGGGCTTCCTTCATGCAAGGAGGCAAATCATCAACCATGCGGATATTCTTTCCAGCTAAATTTGACCCATGCGATAATAAAAATTGTTTATCAGCATAATGCATGAATCCTATTATGATAGGGTTTTGGCGTTTTCTTTCTTCTGTATTCTGCCTAGCCGGTATTCTAGGAGCATTTGCCAATGGAAAACTATCTGCTTTAGGTTTATCTTTTTTTAAGTAATTTATCATAAGGTTATCAAGAACGGCCTAGATGTTTTCATCACTCTTTTCTGGCATGCCATACACTAAAACATTATATTTACGGTCATGTTTTTCAAGCAGTAACTGCTGTTCTTGTAAATTAGTCAATTTTGTTTCAAAACTCTGTCTCATTGACTCCAACTGTTCTACCTCTAGAGATTGCACATTTAGTTCCATAGCTTCAACCCCTCTTTTTAACTCATCGTGATCTTGTCGTAATTCTTTTATTTCTTGACCTGTTTTTGAAACCTCTAACTTTACTTGTGTCACATCCTGTTTTACCGCCTGTACTAGACTTGAAAAATTATGTTCGATTGTATCTAATTTCTCACAAAATTTATTTACTTTTGTGTCTACTCCCAAAATTAGAGTTTTCAAATCTTCTAATGTTGTATTTGAAAGGTTTGTCATGATGATACAAGTATTTCGTGAGTCAATTTCAATGTTACCTTTTCGGATGAAATGTTCATGTACACGTATGATGTAAACATGTAAAGACAGGTAAACATAATATGAAACGATCTCACAATATAACGATTAAAAGTGCATATAAATGTCTATAAACTGAGCAAAACCTTTAAACCATTGTTTGTTTTGATTTTTGCAACCTTTATAGCCTTTTCAATTACATTTAAATGGGTATTTTGTTGATTTTCCTTAGCTTCCAAAAATTTCATGGAGGCTGCCATTACAGGGGAGGTAAATCCTGTTATGATTATTAATTAATGGCAGAAACTCCTCATAAACGAAACAAATTTAAAAAATCATCAAAGATAACATGTTTTTTATTTGGTATGACAAACGCGCGCTTTGTCTACAAAAGACTCACTAAAATAAAAACAATTTGATTGCAAATTAAATAATAAGTTGAAGAGCACTAAACACAAAAAAGATCCGAACTGTTGTGCCAAATACGGCTAACCTTGGAGGATGAAAGTTATTGTTTAGAATGAATTAAATTTTATTAAAAATTACTTCAAAGAAATAAAGAGATCTTTGATATTTCATGTCAACAGAAAATCACTGACTTACTGATATCTTCGGGAACGAGTCCTTCACTAGTGTCTGATTCGACCTTGTGGTTGTAAACATTTTCAAAGATATCAGACTTATTAGTTGCTACGCCAGACACACATTTTGGCTACGAAAGCTTGTGACTCTCGTGTTGCACTCGAATCAAAACAGTTGGAGGTACGAATAAAATACGAATTTGAAGGGCATAAAATAAACCAAAAGATTCCGAGATGTGCAGAATACGGGCAATCAATTTATGCCTAGGGAAAAAACCCCAGTGCCTAGAACTATTTAATATTTCATGAACGATTAATTTACAGAAAATGAACACAGCATTGTATTTTATTACCCTGTGACTGTAAATACTTATCAAACATACTTTTCTTTTGATTTGGTAGGTGAGACGTACATTCGTTTACAAAAGACATCAGTTGCACACAATTTAAAAAGTTTGAAGTCAAAACACAAAAAGCAAAAAAACAAAAAACAAAAAACAAAAAACAATCAGGTAAATCATTATATTCAGCCAAATAAATACGCGAACACTAAACTCAGATAACTAGAAGTTGGTAAGATTAGCATTTCAACTAATATAAATCCCATTTTAGTTAATTACCTTGCATACTGAAGTAAAAGTTGATGCCAAGAATGTCATTGTTGTGGAATCAAATCTTGTAATCTAGAAATTAAATTATTTGAACTGTTAATAAAAACAGAGATACTTCCTCAGTAAAACATTATAAGATTCACATTCATTCTCAGAATAAGAAAACTTATACAGTTTCTCCAAATTCAGAGTAATGATGTTTCAATTCCCGTCCTTCAAATTTCACTATAAGAAGAAATGTCTTACATCACTCAGACTAATTCATATATGAAATATGAAATGCCTAAAAGGAAGTCATTCATTGATTTCAAACATCGCACTGACCATCAAAACAAGTCTTGGTTAAAAGTAAAAGGGTCACTTGAACCTTGAGAACTTTACCTTATTGTAAGTTTGTAAGAGAGTGAAATTCTCCCTCTTTTATGAATGAGAAAGAGCATTATCATTCTCTTAAATATACTTGGAAAGTACTTTTATTCGTTGGATACCAATTTTCATGGTTTTCGTGGATGGCTTACACACTAATTCAAGGGTCCGACGAAATATTATAACTGTTTTCCAAATCAAGACATGGATATATCCCAGTGCAGGTTTGACTACATGGATACGGGTATATAATCTAGAGAAAACACCGAATACCAGGAATCGCACTATGAACTATATTTACAACATCATACAGGATTTTACCCTTTTAATCTTTAAAAAACCTAAACTGTACGACTTAAACCTTTTAATTCTCATGAGAAATTAGTTTTGATCGATGAAAATCAGACTTCCGGTGATGATATACGATGGCGAAGTGTTCAGTTCATCTCCTCATAACTCTCATACGACAAAAAAAAAACATTTCGTATTGGGATTGCTTTTTTATTCACCGAATCAAAGTACATTTGTAGCATTTATTATGTACTTGTTTTCTTTAAGTGACATGTTTGTAGCCCAATTAACATTTTTGATGATCGTTAATTTGTTGAACATTCGATCTTCTGACGATTAGCAGATAAGAATCATCACTTCTGATTACACGTGTACAACCATTAAAATGTTTACTTTGCAATTTCCTTTAATTGAGACAATTTGTAAGCATTATATAAATCAGCTTATTTCCGAAAGCAATTATTTTATCAAAAAATTGCTGATTGTTGGGAGTTACAAAAAACTAACAAGTAGCTACCAATGAACACCTTATTTTGTAATGTCCCACAATCATTTTAAACAACATATGATTTTTTTAAAGAATCTTCGTGTCTGACGGCTTCAAATTCTTCATTCGATTTTTTTTTTCAGAAAACTATGATAATTTGCGTCAAAAATGAGTTGTTGTTTTCCTTTTTTTCTTTTTCGTTACAGTTGAAACAGTAGGTCACACGACATATGCATCAACATTCAAATCAAAATTCAGTAGAACAAAAATTAAAAACAAATAGGCGCAAAGCATTACAAACCAGTAAAGCATTAAGAAATACCCCCCCCCCCTTTTTTTTTTTAGAAATTATTCTAAAAAGACTCTTACAATGCAATTGAAAGTTTATTTTTATGTTCACAGATGTACCAGATGTAAATATCACACAGCCGTCTCAAGGCTTTCGCGGACAGGCTATTACAATAAGATGCTCCTACGTTTCTAACCCTGCAGCTACTAATGTTATATGGAGTAAAGGAAACCAAGGCATTACTGTTGATGGTAACAAATACGAAGGCGGTAGCTTGTCCAATCCTGATCTTACAATCACTAATCTGGGTGCTTCTGACCGAGCGTCATACAAATGTTCAGTAGTGAACGCCCTGGGACAAGGTGATTCATCATCTGTCACTCTTTCGGTTGATTTATCAGGTAAGTGACATCCGTCATGATAAAAACTATTTATAGAACAATCTTGGTATATTCTGAATGATTGTATATTATCATCCTAAATAGGAGGATACATTTCTTATTCAGATTTGGAGCCATCGAGTAATTAATATTGGATAGAGTATTAAATAAAAAGTTGATTTTTTACTTGGATAATATCAATTTATCAGATGCGTCATTTCGACTGATTGTAGATGCAAACATTTGATTGAAACATTAAGAATCGTCGTATATGGAACACTAATTAGGGATAGTTGTTCTGGTCTATTCATTAGGATAGGGATAGTTGTATTGGTCTATTCATTAGGATAGGGATAGTTATTCTGGTCTATTCATTAGGATAGAGATATTTCTTCTGGTCTATTCATTAAGATAGGGATAGTTATTCTGGTCTATTCATTAGGACAGGGATAGTTATTCTGGTCTATTCATTAGGATAGGGAACACTAATTAGAGATAGTTATTCTGGTCTATTCATTAGGATAGAGATAGTTATTCTGGTCTATTCATTAGGATAGGGAAAGTTATTCTGGTCTATTCATTAGGATAGTGAACACTATTTAGAGATAGTTATTCTGGTCTATTCATTAGGATAGGGATAGTTATTCTGGTCTATTCATTAGGATAGTGAACACTATTTAGAGATAGTTATTCTGGTCTATTCATTAGGATAGGGATAGTTATTCTGGTCTATTAATTAGGATAGGGATAGTTATTCTGGTCTATTCATTAGGATAGGGAATACTAATTAAGGAAAGTTATTCTGGTCTATTCATTAGGATAGGGAACATTGAATACATTTTAAAGAATTGGATTCCTGGTTTTCAATTTTTGTTTGTTTTGAGCGTCTAGGTTAAGGTATATATAACCCCGTAAATCCCTACGGGTTACATTACAGTTTGTTGGTCTATCATCGACACTGTGGCTGCTTTGAACGCAAGACCGTATACAATATATACACATTTATTCACACAAGTTTACAGCTTGAAAGGTAGGGGAAGACTGTCCAAGCAACATTTTACAAAACAATTATACATTCATTCAAAGTTAAGGATCTTAAAACATTACAAAAGGTTGATAAAATATATCTTTTATTCTCAAATCTTCTGCAATAATAATCGGATTACTGTCCTCCGGCTAAACTTGATAAAATAGCGATAATTGTTTCTTTTGTAGTTGAGTGTAAGTTACATGTATTATCTTTCGCACTTTTAACTGCCATCGGATTAAGTTGTAAATTATTGAAATCTATAATCTTTAATCTATTTAGGTATTTGAAATAAAGAAACATTGTATTTAAGAATAAAGAAACATTTGAAACAAGAAATGTTCAATTTAAAACGACACTCAATAATGTTCATATAAAGCACTTTTTGAATTATTGTAAAAGTTCTTAACGTCACTTTTCTTTCGGTTATATTCTCCACTACTCCCCCGACGTGCTCGTCCCGAGCATAAACAGTACTATATCATCCTTCTATGGGTAATTCTTTCTGGTTGCTGAAAGCGTGAAACATACTGAAGACATCACGAACATCGAAAATGCACATTTTGGACCTTTAAATAAATATACAAAGGTGGCGAGGGGGGTATGAGGAGGGGACAAATATAATTATACTAAAAATATTCATTCCCACTTAACAATTCAAAATAACATGACTCCATTATATGTAAAGTTATATAAAACAACAACGGGGGCTACTTTTATCACAATCATAAAGCTAAGACTAAGTATTGAAGGATGGGGGGGGGGGGGGGGTAATGATCATTGATCCGTTTATGATTCTAACAAAGATTACACTTTACTGAAAGGTTTTCGAAAACACTATCAAGAATATGAACCGATTATCAGATTATCAGTGGCTATACTTGTACCTTGTAAACAGGTTTTGATCAAACATATGCTTATTTCTGACATGCAGTACAAAGGTCGTCACTCCTGTACAATGGAAACAAGACCACAAGACAGGTGACGAGTCCATCTTGTACTCTTGTTTCGGCCCAAAATTATATTATAAAATGATTTTCTAATACCACTGATAATCGATGTATATGAAAGCTACACGTGTAAATTCACCTACTTACAGCATGTTGTGTGACATGATAAAATAACGACAACTTTGTTCAAAGTTACAACCTTCCCTTGTGTAAAACACTAGGTTCTATGATACAAAAGAATACACAGACTTTAGCTCGATTTATTCTTTGTTTTCTTAATGTCAGTGGCATATATCTCAGACATATTCAGAATAAAGTTATTATTCACCTTAGAATAATGAAGTTTTCTTAATAAATAAATTCTTAATGTGAAATAGAAAAACGAAAATAAACTTTTCTCATTGAGTTGACTAGCTAGACTCGATTAATCCATGTACTGAAAATATGCTTGGCCTTGTTTATTTTCAATGTTGTCATTGTCGTCTTCGCTTATTTTTACTTTGACTCTGAGCATGAAAATGTTGAATCAAATGATTCGGTATGTGGTGAGATGGTTCCCATGTATTTTGTGAACTTCTGTACCCTCGCCATTTAATGAGGTATTGTTTAATGTTGCCTCGTTTTCTACAATTTATTATTCTTTCGACATCACATATGTCCTGTTGATTGTTTGTATTTTGTGACGGTTGCTTATCTTTGTGTAAGTGTGCTTGATCCTTTTGATTATTTTCCCCACTTGATTTTGTGTATGTTTAATAATTGTGTCGTTGACTGTGGCAAGGATTTCAGGCAGTTCCTCTGGGTTTAGGTCGTGGTCTTCATTAACTTCATCGGGTGGGTTCGCGGGGCGATTTTTGGGGTCAAGATACTTCTTCAATCGATTTGCATGAACTTGAGCCTTCAATGTTTATCGTCAGAAGATTTGCGCAAACGGTAAGTATATTCATTCACATATTCTGCAATATAATACGGTCCAGTTCATTTTTGTTGAAGTTTGGGCGACGATCAAACTGGAGTCCGTGTACAGTAAAGCCATTCTTTATCTAATATATTAAACATTAGTTCGTCTACGTTTTTATCGTGTTGCGTTTTATACTTCTGTTGTGCAGCTTCAATATTTGTCTTAGCTGTTTTTCTGTTTGTTGAATGTCTGAAAGTACCTAACAGCCACGTTTGCCTATTCTCCAGGACCCAACACAACGTGTTTCTGCAGTACAGAATAGGACAAACTCTACAATATTCCGTGGCTCATATGAAGGGTGGGCGCTTCACTATTTTTTACTATTATACTTTGACTACCGAGCTAGTCAGTATTTCTTTTAAGTTCCGATGTCTACTATACGCCACCATTGGTGGTTTTGGAAATAGCTCCCTACATTTCGCATTGCGAAGTAGTTTTTTTATTATGTTTTCGCAAAGCTTTATTTATATTTCCTAACGAAAAGTGATATTTAGTTACAATTACTAGTGGTATCTGCTTTTTAGATTCTTGTTTAAAGCGGATATTGAGAGCCGATTCACAGTTACGATGTATTTCATGCTCCTTATATCCCTTTGCTTAAGATGGCCTTTGAATTTACAAATTGTATCTTTTAAATTCTGCGTGTTGCTGTTGTTTCGGTGGTGGCGAATATTTTCCCCTTTTATAAATCCAGAGATGACTGTTGGGTTATGCATAGACGTCCTATCTAAATATTGAAATGTATTAGTAGGTTTTATGTAGCTCTTTATATCAAGGATACCGGTGTTCCTGAACCTCATCCCTTTATGTACGACTGTATCGAGAAAAATAATTTCTTCGTTTGAAATTTCATAAGTAAACTTTAATAAAGGGTGATGATCATTTGCTATTTTAAAAAACTCCTCAACCTCTTCTCGTGATGAATGAGCTATTATATACGCATCATCTCTATACCTTCCGTAAAATAAGATCATATTTTTATACTTATATATTTCAATAATTTCATTGATAACTTCAAATGCTCTAATATCACAAATTTCTGGGCTGCATTTACTTACCATACTAGCACCTATTTTCTGTACAAAGTATCGATCATTAAATTCAAAATAATTGTTTTCAACACTGTGGCTACTAATGATTTAATTGTTTCACAGCTAGGTAATTTTATCGGATAATCTTCTTTTACTGCATTGCTGTAAGCCCGTCCAACAGATTGAATGAGTTCATTGAACTCCGTGTTGGTATAAATGCTGATGCAGTCAAAAGAGATTAACAGGCAATCCCGATCAGGCTTTAAATTTTCTATTTTATTTATGAAATCTCCACTATCTCTAATGTAACTGGTCTGTCTTTTAACTATATGTATCAAAAAGTAATCAATAAATTTGCTTACCCTTTCGGTGACAGAGTTACATTGAGAAATAATTGGTCTGCATAGGGGCAATTCATTTACTTGCCATCGTTTATTTTTTTTCCTTTGAATAACACGTTCACTTGATTTGTGACGTTTAGGAAGGAGAAAAAGACGACCCAATCTAGGTCCCTCTTTCGATGACCCACGGAGAAAATCAAGAGTTATCCCATCAATCTCACCATTGTCAAACATCCTGCTGATTTGTGTTTGTATATTATTTTTAATCAGTAATAGATTAGGTTCTTGTATCTCCGTGTAATGGATAGAGTTTAACTGCCTTAACCCTTCTTCAATGTAGTGTGTCTTTTTAGATATTACAATTGCGCCTCCTTTGGCGCTCTTAGAGAAAATAATATCATGCATGTTTCTCAAAGATCGTAATCCTAGCTGTTGTTTTTTAGTGAAATTGTAGTAGTTAGTTCGTAAATCAAGATAAGATAATTCAAACTTTGTTAGATCTAGATAATTTTCAAGTTCAAAGCAAGCAGGTGTTGGGTCATAAAATGATTTCTGTCGGAACGGATGCATTCCCCGACTTTCTGTATTGCCAAAATGAAAACGACATCTAAGTTTTCTGGCAAATTCATTGAAGTCTGTCATTACAGTTCTGCCTATATTACTTTTCTTAGGCATAGGTATAAATTTTAAACTTTTACCTAGAACTATGTA